CCTGTTGCCCGAGGCCACCGCTGATTGACAGCCAAACTTTAGTAAAGAGCAAGCAGGGGGAAAAAAGGGAGGGAGGGGGGAGGGGGGGTGTTTGGAGATGTGAGCGGCGTGAAGCCGGGGAGGGAGCTGGAACAGATGAGTGGACGGGTGTGGGGGGGTAGATTTAACCTCCTTGTGTGCATGCACAAACAGAATACTGCAGATTATTAACCGGGAGGGGACGATGGAAATGAGGGATGTTTAAGAGCGCCACGTCCTTTCTGCTGTGCGGCCATCGGCCGAAACTATGAACTAGTGATTGATCAGCAGCTTTAGGCTCAAAATACACAGATTTTGAAAACATCCCTTTGGATTCTGGGAAACTATGGTGAACCATTTTTTTTTACTGTTAATGTAAATGAGACACTTTTGATACTATTAATGAAATCAGTCATTGTTAATTAAAGGCAAAAATGCATTTTTTTCTCCAAACAACCAACTTCCTGCTGGTATTTTTTATATTTTATACCAACAGCATGTTGCATATTTTCTTATTTTTTACATTTTATAGAGAGAATAAAAAAATTGAGGAAATTGAGCAATGATGCAATAATTGTTAATTTAATTGTCACAGAGGAGACTGGAATGTTTAAATAAATACAGAAGCGTTCAACAAAAATTGTTAAAATTGTTATAGACAGAGATTTGCTCTATTTACACAGTTGTGAGAGTATTTAATTTGTTCTCTTCTCGTCTTAAAGCATCCGACGCTCCGCGCCAAAGCACCATATTGTTCTCTAAAAATATATTTCCAAACATTTGTCTCTGTCTCTGACTCTCTGACCACCATAACCGCTCATTTGGCAAAATGAAGACGCCTAAATAAATAAGTGAAAGCAGTCTGCAGGGGAGACGGGCTCTGCAACGCTTTGAGTACAATTGTGTTTTTCCTGGCTTACATAATGACAAATATTAGAGGCTGAGATTCCTCTTCTCCTGGAGCGCCTCTGAAAGAAGCGCGGGGAAGGATTCCAACCAAACACGTACCTGCGGAGCCTGTAGAGGAACATCTCTGCAATGTCAGTTCCACTCAAAAGAACTCTCCCTGTGGCACGTTGTTCTGCACGGTGTCATACTCCTAAAGCTGGTGGCTCTGAACGCGTCACGTCGATGAGGACGTGAACTCACGTCTTAGTTACGCGCTCGTCCTTTGTCCTCACAAATTAAACATGCACACTGCGAAGATGTCCCCCAAACCCAGCGAGGCAAACGCACACCGACACTGTCCTCATCTGGCCCGGCGGGTTGAGTGTGATTTAATGTTATTATTGCGCAGGTGTGGCTCTGGTCCCGCGGGGTTCCATTAAAACGATGCCCCTCTCTCAATAGCAGCTCCATTTGCTCTTTAGATTTAACACAGGCCATATGTCTGGCAGGAGGCAAACAGCTGATGGGGTTTAATTGACAGAAATCAACATATTTGGTAGTGTGTGTGTCTGTGTGTGCGCTCGTGGTGGATGATGTGCTCCAGGGACCCTATTTAAAGGGTCAACTGTGTATCAGAACTGAGTTTGGATAGCAAGAGGAGAGAAGACAGAAAGAGGGCAACAGAGCGACGTTGATGGCAACAGGAACCAAGAGGGATTCATAAAAGGAGACACAGATTCAAAGAACAGTTTAGCGTTGCAGGACATAAGGACATAAACCCCCCCCCACCCCCACCACCCGTAACATCAACGTGTCCTTCATTTCGGCGTTAACTTCATGTTTCATCTCGTTTCACAGAGGCGCCGTCCAAGCGCGTCACATTGTGTCACCGAGCAGTAGTGTGCCCCCCCCCCAGAACAAATGTAACCGCTGGGTAATCGCCCCCCCTGCGCACGACACTGAAACCATTTAGCAGCTCGCTCGACAGAAGCGTTTCTTGGATGTATTTGTGACGAAGTAGGAGAACGGTTAAAAGTAGTTCTCATTCATAAGGGACGATCCGCCATTAGGCTAACGGGCGCAACGCAATTAGCACATAAAACCTGTCATTGGACCCTCGATATCACAGCCCCCCCCCCCCCAAGGAGCAACAGACTTATAAAGCCTCCTGATCTGCCACTACAAAGTCATTAATCCTTCCCACACAATGACCAGTCTTAAACAAGGCCTCTTTATTATTAAGTATATGGCAGTTTAACGTCCCGCTAATTAGCATTCAGATCAGGGACCAGAAAGGCCCCCCCCTCCACCACGGACGAAGGACATAGGACGAGATGGCGACACAGTGAAATGTCATTAACTCGATGTTAATTACTAATTAATGGGGCTATTTCATTTACATGTATCTGTGGCTCTCTGATGGCGCCCGCCTTTACGGGGTTACTCTCACAAGCATACAAGTTGGGGGAGGGTCCCCTCCCCCCCCCCTCACACCCACCCTGGCCCTGTTTTATCTCTGCTAATTAAATAGTGGGCCACTCATCATGATTATGTCTGCTTTTACAACGGCGCGTTCTGTCAGCGAGCGATGAGCAGCGAGCCGCCTCTTCGGCGCCGGATCGGATCAAAAGCCAAACTCACCCGGACTCGGCTGACTTCTATCTGACTTGTTACTTTCACTCCCTTGTGACCCCCCCCCCCCCCCTCTCCCTCCTGGATCCCCTCTCCTCTTCGTCGACACAAGCCGGCCGTCTCCATGGGAACCCGAGCCGCTCGGTCCCATGAGACGCAGTGGGTTGGGTTGACTAGCGTCTGGCCGTTCACACGTGGGCAGTGCCAACCAGCCAACATGGCACACAGCGTCCCGCCATATGGCGCCGCCACATACGTCCCGCCAGGACCGGACTCGGGGATCCGCGGCGCGGACGGGACGCGGCGGGACGGGACGGAACCGGCGCTGGACACCCCGGCGGACGGGTGCTCGCGGGGCCGACAAATGGTTCCCAGGTTCTTTGACCTAGAGGTCAAACGTGATCTGAAGCTTCCCCCCACTGCACTGCTCACGTTGAGAAAAGATATTTACTTTATATTTAAGTTCACTGAAGTGTTTAAATATGCGAGAGAGGCACGATGTTAAATATTAGCTCGTCTGCACACTGGCAGATTTACACAGATACAGAAAAATTCAGGGTGATTGTCTGCAGCGCTGCATAAATCAGAAAATACTGTCGTCATTAACAGAAAATCTATTTTCACCATATTTATTTTTCTGACAATATAAGCAAACTCCTCTTTAAAAAGCTTTAGAATTTAAATATGGATGAAACTAACATTAGGTTTACCGCTGAAGTGAAGATTTCTGTATGGTTCCTGTATACCGTTTGGTCAAATTATAGACATTTTGAAAACTACAGGTGACATGATGGAAAAAATTTAAAATCGAAATCACCATAAATTTCCCCAAGTTGATTAAAAAGCTACAACATCGCATTTTGTTCACTTCACAACTTTTCTGACAATGTGTTTTGTTGTTTTTTTTCAAGTAGTGAATTTAGAAATCACCTACAGCAGCAAACAGAGAAAAGTGTTAAAATAAATACATAACTAATGTGTATTTGAGGTTTTCTACCCACTAGCCTGTAGATAAACGCTGCATTAAAGCAAAGTTGTGCTTGAATTGTCGAGAGCTCATCAGGCCTCAGCGCTGGTGCTGTGCTGCCTCCTGGTGGCGCTGCAGAGAACACACACACACGCACACGCACACGCACACGCCCCAGGTTGACAAAATAAGACTTAAAAAAAATTTCTAATATATGCTTTTAAATACAAAACATCTTAAAGCTTTAGAATACTGCATTTTTACTGCAGGAATGTATTATTTTTATCATACATATCTTACATGTTATCTAAAAGGCTCCCAGGGGCCGAGAGGGAAGAAGGTGGATCGACAGAATGGTTGAATGTTTGACATCTCGCGTGGTGTAGTGACGGGGAACAGATACAAGCATTGAATGCATGTGTAAATAATCATAATAATCATAATAACAACAATAAGGCTGAGGGTTCGGTCCCGCGGTATCATGTAACGACTTTCAGTGTAGACACACTTTGTGTACGATCACATCAACACAAAGTCAGTACAGAAGTAACAGTTGGTATCAGATTGCATATTAAATAAATTATTGTAAATAGTCAGTAAACACAATCTGAATACGTTTGATGTTTTCAATAAATCCATGCCCATGTTTTCTGTAAACACTGACCAACAACGGGCGTTTTCACCAAAGGAATATCTACACAGACTTAACATCCAGCTAAAGGATACACTTCTGAGGGTCTGGAGAAGGGTTTGTTTGTGTGTCAACAACAGTACAGAGTCACGCGGAAGCAACACAACAGAAGCAACGGTCACCTCAGAGCCAATGAAATGACACACGAGCGCATCGCAACGTTCTCCTCTCCAAAAAGGCACAAAATCATGAATGCATAGAGACGGAACAAGTACACGTGTCAAGCATCTGACGACGAGGTGCTGCGAATGCTAACGCTAGATGCTACAAACTACACTTCAACATTGGGCCGCAGGTCGACAGCTGGTTTGTTGCTACGCGCTTTGCATCAACGTTAATGTTCTCCTCCCCCCCTCCTCCGCCGGAGAGGAGTGTCAAGTGAATTTTAAACTGACAGGAGTGCCCGGGCAACTGGTTTGCGACAACGGGCCCCAATTTTGTGCTTGGTGGAGGAAAAGGGGGAAGTCCCGCTCCTTTCAAGGGCGTCTCCATTGGACGGGGAGGACAACGGAAACATTTTTCTTTCACTCATAGGTTTTTTTTCTACGGAAGTCAGAAAAGAGTGAGGAAACTGACTTCCGCCATCTAACCCGGTACGTTTTGCTATTTTTTTTACTTAAAATATTCATTTAAAAAAAAGAACTCACGTCATATAAATATACGTCAAAATAATTAAGTGAGGTATTTCTATTACAACCACGGAGAAAGGAAATGTAAAAAGTGAATTACCGTCTGGTCTCTCAACCCAAAAGATGTTCTTGAAGCAACAAACGGGGAGAACAGACTCCATCAAAGGCCTTGTTGCCCCCCCCCCCTCCTCGACTGCAACAATAAGATGAGCTTGTAACCATGGAGATGAGGACCGTAGCAGGTGAATGGAAGAGGGCATTAAAGCGGCAGGTAATTAGCGGCTCGCGTATTGACGTATCCTTCAGACAGCGACTATTAAAAGACTTCAGGTGCCCCCCCGTCCCCCCACCCACCCGCAGGGTCAGAACACACACCACCGATATGTCACTACTGTCTCAGCGTCCGTCCCTCCCACGTATGACAATAGGTGGTGTCTCCATGACGTCCCCCGCACTAAGTAACACGTTCTGGGTCGAATGACGAGCGTGAACTCGCCACCTTCCACCACCAGCTGAGGGTCGTCTGCTGTCCCACTCCACCCTTGAATGAACACATCTGGGGGTGGGGGGGGGTTCTACACGTCGGTGAGTGAGCAGGTTCTGCCGTGTGCTTATTGGTAACTCTGCGGTTCCTTCTCAGCCAGAAACGTAGCCGCCGATCAAAAGAGCTTTCCAGATCTCATACGCTGGCTTTCTGCGTGTGCCGATCTCTATCCGTGTCTCCCTCGGGTGGGGGGGGGGGGGAGGGGGGGTCCCGTCGGCCCTTCCGATGGGCCGCTAGCTCAGATGTGGATGTTGGCGTAGCGGGCCTTGCTCGGGTCGATGTCGACCCGGCGGGCCTCGGCGAACGCCAGGAAGGTGCAGAGGCCCAGCAGGTTGACCGTGGTGATGAGGGCGAACACGGACGTCCAGGAGCCCGTGGTCTCGATGAGATACCCCGAGAAATACACCATCAGGACCCCTGCAGATTAAACACACACATTTAAACAGAAGCACACAGACGGGGGGGGGGGGGACGTCCCTCACAGGACCTCCGCTCCCTTGATGAAATATGCGCGTGCACATGACTGGCGGCTCAAAGTCGGAGGCGGATGAAGCGTCTCCCTCGGTACGTTGCTGTAACGTGGCGAGCGCTGGTGAAAGATTCATCACAGAAACTCACCTGAGAACGCCCCGCACGTATTCATGACACCTGTGAAAGAGACGCAGGCACACGCGTGTCAAATGGAAGATTCCGTGCTTTGATCGCCTCCGTTGAGTAAAAATGGCGGCTTTCAGTTCGCTATGGAAACTTACCGAACAAAGCTCCAGCACAGGACGGAGCGAGATCCTGAACATTTACAGATACGCCGCTGTGAGACAAGAGGGACATTTCTGAACTGAGTCTTTGGGGAAATGTGTTCACATGAAAGGCATCGTGCTGTAGCAATGGAGGTCGGCTGCTTTTGGAACCTTTGCATTATTGTATAGAAGACAGCTGTTATTACACGCGTGTGATGTGTGAGTGGAAACAAGAGAGACAAATGAAGAGGAATCTGTGTCACAGAGCGGGACTCAAAACCCTCAAAGTCTCAAAACGCTCGTCTTGTCCGCAGACATTGACCGTGTCTAAATTATGTATTGTATTTCCATGCAGGAATACGAACAAATAGAAAAAAAGAGGAGTAAACTCATTAAAAAAAAAGGTTGTGTTACTGTGGATTTTGAGGGAAGCAACAAATGTTTAATTCAAATCTACATTTGTTCCGACAGACGTATCGGACGTCCTGGAGTCGATGTGAATTCAACGGTTCCAAGTAGAGTCACTAATCAGCTGTACCTGTGGCTGAAGGTGGTGAAGCCCATGGTGGCAGACACGAAGGCTACGGCCCAGGCGAAGGTGGTGTTGCCACAGAGGAGGAGGGTAAACACACTGGACACGCCCATGGAGAAAAACTGACCGAGGGAGAGAAAACTTGAGTCAGTCACGCGCTTACACGAGTAAAACGTAAAAGAAAATGAGCTGAATACAAACTAAAACATCGGCAAGCAATCTGCCGGGCGCCGTACCTGCATCATCTTCCTCACGGAGGCGGTGTCGTAGCCTGTGGGGACCAAGAGAGAAATCGGGACGCTCGATTATTCGGCCGCTTTACGGGTACAAACGACATCTGGTCACGGGCCGCGCTACCTTGAGCGATGAGGTGGTCCGACAGGAAGCCACTGAACAGGGACGAGGGGATGGCCACCAGCCAGGGCACCACGTTGAACACCCAACCCTGCAGAAGGGGCGGACGTTTGAACCAGTGCGAACTTGGAAACGTGGAAGTAAACCGGAAGTAGCGGTTAGCGGTAGCTGCTAGCGCCACTGTACCCGAGTATCTAATAATAACAATAATAATAATACTGATAATAAAATAAATTCTTGAAGGTTATTCTTTTGTTTCAGTTTATTTCATTTATTTTAATTTAATATTTTTTATCTTATTATATTGTATATCTTTTAATTCTATTTTATTCCCTGTACATGCTGCTGTGATAACACAATTTCCCTCTTGAGGGATCAATAAAGTATCTATCTATCTGTCTTCAAAGACTGGACCGGACCCCTCTGGGATTGTTTTACTTGAATCCCTGCCTTTATGTGTAGGTTGTATGCAGGAAGTCACCTTGGCGTCGGGGAAAGTGTCCTTAAAGAAGGTGGGCAGCCAGGACAGAAGAGTGAAGAAGGTGCTGGCTGTGCAGAGGTGGGTGATGATCACAGCACTGATGGGAGCGAGGACAGAGATAGATATAGATATAACTAAGCATGACTTACATATTGTTTCCTTCTCTGGATTATATTTCTGTCAGGGGAAAACCTCCATGTGACTAAACTTAAGATGAGTTTGTTCTCACGCTCCAGAAATCCCCTTCAGCAGCTCCTACATCAATCAAACTACACTTCATTCCTCTATTGATCCTAAAGGTTTTTACCGAGGCGCTCATATATCATTTATTCACATATATTGCAAAAATAGATTTTTTCATGGCCTGCGGGTATTTGCTAGGATACAGAATTCCCCTGGAAGGCCTCTGCTTAAAGACCAGTAGCATGTGACTGAACACATAATACGTAAATATGAAAGCAGAGGCATCCGCAGGCTTTGCGTTCTAAAATGTACTACATATAAAAGCTGGATATTAATCTTCAGAAGGTACACAGTGCACCAACGACCCCCTCGACAAACACTTCCATCATCTCACCACACTGCCGGTTGTCTAAGGAGCCTCAGCCAGTGTCTTTTGGACAGTTTGGAATGGGAGCCTCCACTCCCCAGGGACTCCAGCGTGATGATGGGGCCTGCAGGCGCACACCGGCACATGAGCGCACAAGAGGAACACGCACTCCGCACACAGCATTCGCTGAGGAGGCTCCCTCACCTTCTCCTTTGAGCAGGTACTTCCACATGCAGTAGGCCCACAGGACCGAGAGCAGGCCGGACACGTAGAAGACGCTCTCCCAGCCGTACAGGTCCAGCATGAGCGAGCCGGCGCCGCCAATCACCAGAGTGCTGCGGGGGACGAAAGGGTCACGAGACACGACAGGTCAAACAAACACACCCTGGACACAACATTGTAGAGTCAATAACGGACGTCATGGCGTATTGAAAAAGAGATACTAGAAACTAGAGATTGAGACCATAAACTCGTGTTTATGATGTTTACTGGAGGGAATAAATCCTCAGTAAACATTATAAACATGAACATGGGAAGCAGAGTCGTTCTCTCATAGACTTCTATGGGACCGGAGGAGTCGCCCCCTGCTGGTCACCGCTTATTGTGGGAACATGATCTCTAGATTGTCTGGGCAGAAATATCTGTCACCACACATCGACACTCTGGTAGATGGGGGCGGAGGGGGGGGGGGGGGGGGGGGCGGAAATACACCTCGGCTGGGCACTTTTTGATCCCCTTAAAAAAATTTCAACCGAAGGGGGGGGGCGCTTACCCCGGAATGGCACCCGAAAAAATAAAAGTAGGGATGGCTGGCTGGTGAGTCAGGCTCAAACCCCCCCCCTCTCCTCCTCTCCCCTCATGACTCACCCCAGGTAGGAGCCGCTGGCCACGGTGCTCATGAGGAAGCCTCTGTCACTCTCCACCACCTTTTGGGAGCACAGGCTCGCCAGGGACGGGTAGTGCACCCCTACAGACAGTTAGAGATCCGTTATTTTTTTTTACATCTTCCTGTTCCTGTTTTGTCACAAGATCTTCCTGCCAAAAATAAAAATGTAGACACACCCGAATCACCAGACCGTTGCATGAAATTAATTCTTGTTCTCCTGCCAGATAACCAAAGACAAAGTAAAGATGCCACACAGTAAACATGGTGTAATTCATTAAAATCGCCAACAGAGGTCTATAGATGCCACATGGTGAGCTACTTAATGTTTAAAGTCGTAAGCAAATTCTAATTCAACTGGATTTTGGGCCTCACTGAACATAAAACATACCTAAAAATGTACTTTTAAAGGCAGAGCGGCCCAATAGGTGGATCATGATCGACCGGTTGATGGTGTACGCAGGGCCAGTAGATTGCCATTGATAAACATAAAAAAACGTCACTGATGCACGGTCGACCACGGGGGCTGACGGAAAACACCGACATGACAGGTCAGTTGTATTTTATGTAGCCGGAAAAGTGTGGGCACCCGTGTTTTAGAGGAAACCCACCACTCAGACGACACTGAGTACTTATTTTACCTCGTCCGTCTTTTAAAACTCCTTCCCCACATGTGCCACAAACTTCCCGTGTAGTTTTTGAGTAGTTATGACAGTTCCAGACCGGCTCACCTTGCAACAGGCCCATGAGGAACCGGGACAGCGTCATGGAGAAGATGGGCTGGGAGCAGAAGTGGGCCAGGATCGGGGTGAAGGCGGTCATCGACCCCCAGGCCGCCGCCGACAGCACGAGGATCTTCTCCCCTCCAACGCTGCCCAAGACAAAGAGCACAGACGGACGAACCCGCGTGAGCGTTGTATCCAGAACCCAACGTGTTCCGGTGTTTCAAATAATACTTGTTGAGCAGGAAGATGAAACAGGCAGCGTGGGTGACACAACACAACAGGAGTACTGTTTCCCACCGGTCGCTGACGTAGCCTCCGAAGACTTGGGTGAAGCAGTAGCCCCAGAAGAAGCTGCCCAGCACCATGCCGGACTCCCTCTTGCTCCACTTGAACTGCTCCGCCATGCTGACGGAGCAGATGGGCATCGCCACGCGGGCGCAGTACAGGAGGCACGTCCCGAGCAGCAGCACGCCCGTCCATACCCTTGCCACTGGTCTGATGGTGGGGGGTAGAGGAGACATTTAGGGGACATAAAACCACATGATGCGTGATAAGTACATTCAATGCGAGTCAATGAAGCTGCCACGTGTTCCACCAGGAACTCTTTTAGACAGTTCTAGAATCTTAGAACCACATCTGAGAAGACACTAGTTGACTTTCTGTTCAGAACATTTCCATCTTCTGCAGGGGCCTCACTGAAGAAACTATTATATTATATACATTATATTTCAAGGGTTTAACTCAAGAGTTGTATCTAGAACAAAATCAGGGGCATCTGAACATCTCAGTATTTGGGGCTGTGTGTATTACCTTCCGACATTCAAGCTTTAAATCAAAGGCACTTTTCTTCAGATGCACTTTACAAAAGAACCAATAGAATCACTGAAAACGCACTTTTCTTCATATAGGTTCTCCAGAAGCGCCTCGGGCCCTTAGGAAGGAAGCCGTTTGGTACCCTACCTTTGTTAAAGTGCAACTTCGTACGGGTTCAGTTTGAGAGTGACAGGTTGGTTGATGGGTGTAAAAGGTGATATAATGACTGATCAAGTATTTTCCCTAAAGCCACCGCTTCTACTTCCCTCTTTGGCTCTACATCTCGTGGCTCTGCCACTCTAGAACTGGCTCTAGAACTCACCCAGCAAAAGCGGATACGTGTCATTTCCTTCACCACTACGACATGTCAAAAGGTCCTTCACGTGGAGACATGTCGACATCCCACCAATGTCTACACTCCTCGTGCGGGACATTACTAGTTACCGTCCGACTCTCACCTTTAACGTCGGTGAACCGATCGTCTCTCTCGGGTCGTTCGGACAAACGCGTGTGACGTTTACGTCCCCCGGGATAAACCAGCGCCACCAGAAAGACGGTCTTAACTAAAAGGCGTTACCTGGACCAGGTGGTGTTGTTGTGCTCGGACCACTTCTTGTGCCCCCCGGGGGCTCCGGTCCTGTCGGGCGGGGGGCCCTCCTTCTGGCACACCAGGTCGGGACTGTGTTTCTTGCCATGTTTTTGAATAACTGCCATTCAACACGCGAGTTATCGGCGGCTCCTTCCTCTCATCCGTCGGGTCGCTTTTTCGTCACTTTGTTTCCGGTCCACGGAGTCGTCAAAAGTCAACGTCGATACAAAGTTACAAACCATATCTGAACACGAAAGTCTGATCCGTAACCAGCGGGACGATGCCCGCGGAACTAAGCCTGCTGGCGTGTGTCCGGGTGTGTGTGTGTGTGTGTGTGTCCCCCCCCCTGATGACTGAGGAGGAGTAATCCACGTGTCAGTTTTTTTTCTCTCCCGCCGGCCCCGCAGTTCTTCTGGTGATCGGTAGGGTTAAACGAGCACACACGCCGCGCACTTCCCCCGGTGTCATCCACGATGACGCGCGGCTCCGGTCCTCTTGCGCGCGTCTCCCCGATCGTGACGGTGCAAATACACGGAGAGAGAGAGAGAGAACAAAAAAAAAAAAAAAAAAGGTGGCGTACGGCAGCATCGTTTGAGCACCGGGATGTCCCGGTGCTTTGCCGGTGGAGACGTGTGTTTGCGCGCCGGCGTGGAGCACGTAGCGGGCTTTCGTTACGTAACAACTTCTAGCGGGTCTCTCCTCCTCCGGGCTGCAGCTGGAGGAGGAAATCGCATCCCATTATAAGCAATGTGTTCTTTCTATTTTGGTAAAAGTCCCGTGGTTAAAATGTTACGCATGTGCTTACTGTGCAAGGACACGTAATCCATTATAAGTAATGTATTTAATGCACCGTGCGGGAGAACTCCAATATTTCAGTAAAAGTTTCATTAAAGAAGGTCAATTATGTACTAAATATAGGATGTATGCCGGTGGTAAGCTTTGCCTTTAGGCTGGAGGAAGTAGGCCTACTCACACAGCCCGTTAAGTCTGTGAATATTTAATTCACAGGGGAAGAAACATTAAGATATTTGAGTAAATTTGGCATATTTACAATGCATTTAAATTCCTGGAGTTAAAATTTTACCCACGTATTAAAAACATTGGTACACTAAAAGTTCTCACCATGTAAAATCGCTCAGCTTTAGTGGATCATTTACAGATAAACATTTACGTAGCAAACATGTAATGCACTGATGTGATGCCTCCGCCTCGACCAACCAAAAACAGTAAAATGGTACTCACATTTTTTTATATTTATGGAGAGGTCAGCTATTAATGCCTAAATACTTTTACTTATACTGTCACCGATTGAGTATGTGTATATTGCAGTACTTGTTTCTGATGTAAAATGTTATGTAAGCATGTTGTACTGTAGCCGGATCGTACGTTAACCCATTGCCTCATATACTGAGAATCAATTACTTTTTGTAAATCTTTGTCGTTTGTACTTGTTAATTGTAAAATATTTGGAAGTGGAAAGATATTGATTATCTTCCAATGGATACTCAAGTAAATATACTTCATAATTGCAATGTAAGTCGCTTTGGATAAAAGCATCAGCTAAATGACATATTTATGAAATACTTGAATATGTGCACTTGTTACTACATTTTAACTGAATTCCAGAATTAAACACACTCAAAGCTTTGAAGTCTTTTATGACTTGCGCAGTTCCAAATTCCACGTTTATTGCAAAACAATATCCCAGCAAAAAAAAGCACATCAAATTTAGCAAAAGAGCTACTTGTTCCATACATGTCAATATTCCTTCTGTAAAAGTGTCTTATTCATTCAAATCTGTTAATATCTGTGATACTATATAACTGTATGAAACTAAGGCTGCCTCTAAACTGTTCTTTTATCTTGCCTTGATCCATTTGTTAACTGCTACTTTGATGAACAGCTAGAAAGTTTATCTGTTCCAGTCTCTTTTATAATGTCTCAAGCATCTTAAGCTCAATTCAACTTTCAAAGTCACAGTAGTTTGAAAGATCTTGAGTATCTTGTATCGGCTGATGCCGTCACAGAGTACTAGTTAAGAATTACTAGCTGAAATGTGTATGTTTGGATGTACGGTAAAGGTTTGTTTATTATAGGAAGTGCACACCTAGCCAACCATTTTCCCTGAACATCAAACCGGTCACACATAGATAGTGACAGCCTAATTTAGGCTTTATTCACACCCTTCTATGGCGACAACTTTCCCTGCCAACAGACAGAAAAACTAGAGGAAATATACTCATTTCACATAAACAAATATGTCAATTATAATACCGAGTCAATAATGGTCTGCATGTTAAGTATGAGAAGTCATTTTGAAATGCCATCAATCCAGTTTGCACATTCTGAGTTATTAAAGTATCAAAAAGCAACCCTTACAAAAAAAGAAAAGGTTGTACTGTATAGGAGTCAGCTTCTTGTGGTATAAATAGATAAGGGAAATGTGTCCGTTTCTTGTAATGGTGTTGTATGTTTTCACTGTAGGTCCTTATTTTGGGTCTTCGATGGTTCCCTTGCTGAGGTCTGTCATTTTGGGATACTTCACTTTCTTTTGGTCAAGTTCATTTTGAGCCCAAAGCAGGAGCTTCAGCAGCTTGGCCAGCTTGGGTGTTGACTCTCTGTTTTCATAGTCTAGCACGCACTGATTCACTTCGCTCCATACCTGAGGGACAGAGACGGGTTATGACTTTGCTTGTGTTAGACTGAAAGTCTACAGAGAGCAACCCAAACACACAAATCAAGGAATTCAAATACGATTTGTATGAAAATTGAGTCCGATGAATATGGAATTTGTCTTAAAACATTCTGCAGCATTAAACATTGAACTGTGATGACCAATAAATTGGATAACGTAAATTACATGTAGCAGTTTTAACTGATCCCAGTAAAAAAAAAGTCCCGGAGTGTGAAAGACAAGACCGTTATAACGCTACCGATATGCTCCTAGCTACCTTTTGTCTCTGCATCATATTGAGCAGATCCCCAAAGGGTGAATCCTCGGGGTTGTCGAAGGCCAGCAGCGCCAGCGTCCTCTCCATCTCCGTCAAACATTCTCGGCTCTCCTCCCCCTGCTCTGCTAACTGTGACTGGGCAAATTCAAGCGCCGCTTCGGTCTCCCTCAAACGGATCAGCTCGATCAGATGCTGCTGCTGCAAACGAGGAACACGCAACAGGGAGTAAAAATAACAAAAGTACAAGTAGAAGCGATATCGTCAGAAGCACAAGACCTAGATGTGGACACAATGGTAGGCAGTTCGTTGTAGTTTACCTGTAAGTGGAAGTAGAGGTAACGGTTAGTATCCAGCAGCTCTGGGTGCAGACTGTTGATCAGTGCAATGGCGTCCTGGATCTGTCCCTTCAAGATCATCTCTCTGATCTTAATCCTCTCATCTAGGGAGTCCAAGTCGACGCTGGGCTCTATTCCAGACTCCATCCTGAACTTCTCCGCTGCCTCCTTGAAGCCCTCTGTTGAACCAAAACAGAGGTGAAAATCCTGCACATTTCCTCCTTCATAACTGAATGTTAATAACAAATTTAAAAAACAGTAGTTCACCTGTGACCAGGTAATTCATAATGAGCCGGTTCATATCAGCTCTTTGAATATGGACATTGTTGAGCTTATCCATCCATTCTTCCCTTGTTATGTCGTCCGGCTTCTCCGCATAACTCATTATGAGAATATCCTTGAACGAGTACACAAACAACGGTTATCTTGTGAGATGATAAAGAAAGGCGTTTGAGGGACGTAATGTGACGTTTCGGCCGTTGCAGCGAGTTCGGCCTCTCAGTCTGCGAGAGAGTCACAACAGTTCGGGCCTTCGGCGAAAAACACAACATTGAAGCCTGACTTTCGTTCACACGAATCAAAACAAAGAAAACTTTCCGCTTTTCGGGGAACGTATATTAAATACAAACATCCCAAAAAATGCTGTACTGGTTTATTGTCTTCTATCAAAATGTATACAGCGTTTTAGACACGTATTATGATGGTACAATTTACAATACCTGATTTTTTTGACGCTACTTTCCTGCAGCTAGCTAGCTAGCGAAGGAGAGGCTGTTCTTCTTCTTCTTCTTCCGGTTATTTATTACCTGTAAACTACTCGGGGAATTACGCACTACTGCCCCCACGGTAAGTCAGAAGTATTGCAGGTGCCTGGAATTTTACATCGCTTGTTCAAATGTGTTTCTATATTCTTCCCTATGGATTGATGTCAATCTTACTAATTAATAAGGCTAAGGTTATTGACTTACTTGATAAACATTCAGTGTATGTTTTCTTTTACTTGCATCGCATAATAAAACATTCATTTTAAAAACTAAAAGTACAGCCAAACTAGCAGCTAGAACGAAAGCGACCTCTACTGGTGGACTCCTGTAACGTAGATACCCTGAAGTAGCAGAGACTCTCCAATCACTAAAGATTCTCCTAAAATAGCATAAAACCGTTGGTAGCGTTTTTCGTATGAATTTAAATTGGCTAACTTTGGTCTGCTGAAGAATTCAAACCACCACACTTAAAATAAAGGCACCCATTTCAATAAACCCTTTTTGTTCATTGTCACAACTTGATGTATGCTTAAACTGGGTAATTAAGTCAATACAGATGTCTCTTGTTTGAGTGATTTATAAACCATTTGTGATGGTTGTTCATTTGTTCGTTTTTTTATTTATTACGTCATAAAGGGTGGAAATGAGACGTTCAATTGCAGAGAAGAAGACAACACATACCCTAAGATGTAGCCTATAGATAGATATACAATTTATGTCGAATAGCAGCAGTACAGTAAATAAAATGAGTAATGAAAAATGCATAACACAGTACAGTACAATGAAATAAAACAGCAGAGCAGAACATATTAAATTAAGTGAAAGGAGTCTGTACAGCGGGGTGGAATATGTGTTAAATTAAATTAAAGGCAACAGTAGTGTTGTTGTTCAAATACACGAGGGTTTAGCCAGAGGTATTTTGTTGTAAAGTGTTATTGCAGTTGGCAGGAATGTTTTCCTATCTGTCCTTGTGACAGCTGGATCAACCTGTTGGAGAAGGGTGGTAATAATACAGATGTTATTAATGCAGGTGATGGCAGTAATCTATAATCGTATGTGACTAATGTGTCGCCCTGTATTAGGTTTATATATACCCCTCCCCCTCCCCCCGCCCCCCGCCACGAGCTCTCATCGCTTCCGTGTTAACTGTTGCTATGGAGACGACAAAGTTAACTTCCATCCCAGGACTCGTTCAAAGGATAAACAGGTCAAACTAGCCACCGGCCGGTCACCTCGCGAAGGGAGACTGAATGAACGAGCAGGCGAACAGGTAGCTAACCTGCTGTTATCCTCTCAACTGCAACTACAACCTTTTAAAACAAACGTTAGCTCGGTCAGTGACAAGTGTTGCACTGTGACTACAACGGTCAGTTAGCTTAGCTATACGTTAGCCTCACGTTATTTCATTTTTTTTCTTCTTCTTCTTCTTTTTCAGCGGCGTGTTGCCACAGATGGCCACCACGTCGAGGTTTCCCGTCCTGCCCCCCATTAAGGGCAGCCGGCGCCGGCGCGCGGAGGCACAGACCCCCGCAGCGGAGGAGGAGGAGGAGGCGGCGACCGTAACGGTTCCGAAGACGCCGCTGAGGCGCAAGAGGAGCCGAGTGCAGCGGGAGCACCTCCGCATGATGCTGTGGGTACACGAGTCACACCTCGGCACCTCCGCGACTGTCATTGAGTCACTTGATAATGCAGAAGGCCTCTGGGGGTCCCTGCGGGGTGACAGCTCGCTGACTGGGGTCGTTGCAGGGCGTCACGGGCGATGGAGGCCTGCAGACGGAGCAGAGAGACGGGAGCAGGACGCAGCAGCTCGCCAGAACCACAGTTCCCACCTTCTGTATGTGTGACAACCTGCGCACACTTTTTAAATGTAAATATTGCACAGTAAAACGTGGCCTGTTTGCATCGCTTCCTTCGCAGATGCTTAGCGAGGAGCGGAGGCGTGAGGTAATTTGACTGGCAGTGATTCAACTTATGCACGACAGGCCTCTCTTGTCATATTTTTATTCCCCATTTTTTTTTTCTCCAGAGGAACTACACGGCGCTGAAGCGGCTTGTAGAGAGCCGCCCGTTCGCTCCAATCCAGCAGGGCTGGTTGGACTCCATCGTGGCCTCTTCCAAGCCGAAAGGGGCCCCTGAGACAAACGAGCTGCAGCAGCAGCTCTGCAAGGAAGTCAGCGACAACTTCCACAAAGTGATCGTCAAGCACACGGGTATTGGCAGTTATTTGTGCGGATGTCTTCGCTCTCAGAGTACATTTAAACTGCAGGTGTCTCATCCTATGTTCCCTCCATTTAGTGAACACAGTGCTAAAGGATCCATATGCACAAGGTCCCGTCTCAGACGAACGGGCCGATGCCCAACCAAAGTGAGGGATTAATCCAAGATCACAGAACTAGTAGTTGTTTTTTTTAATGGCCCCTTTTTAAATTACATTTCCGATCTCTTACAGAATTGTTGAATTCTCACAAACATGGCACAAGAACTTCATCAGAAACCGCAAGAAAATAAAGAACAACTTGCACGTTCTCCATCCGGCCATGCAGGCCGTCCTGGATATTGGCTACGTGAATTTTTCTCCGCTGGTCCTGGTGGATCTTTCGAGATGCCGGTAAGGAAAGACACCGCGGATGCATCATGGCGCCACCAAAATCACCACACTCCCACTATGATGTGCTCAAGTTTTCTTTTTGATTTAACGTTGGCGCCAGTGCTTCCGGACCTGTGGATTGTAAGAAGCTACAGGTCAGAATGTCTGTGGAGTGTAAGAGGACAGAAGATCGTATCATGAATACCTGGTTTCCCAAAGTCATCCACCTACTAGAAACGCTGACTGAAGTCAGAGAGGAGAAACTGGAGTCCTTCTTTGACTGTGCGTCCACCCTCATCTCCATTCAGGTGAGATGATGCGGATGATGAGTCACAATGAACTAATTAAGGTTGTTTGGATCATTCCTGAATCAAAACCAGTTCTAAAGTGTTTTTGTTCTATACATATTTAGCAAGTCTGTTCTAAGAGAAATACATTGAAAAACACCAAGAGATGTACAATATATGTGTATTTTTAAAATATTTAAAATATATATATATATATATATGTGTGTCCTTTATTTTCAACAACCCTCATTCAATTCTATCTTGATTTTTTGTCTATGTGTTGCCAATTTCGACTCATTCTTCCTTCTTCGCTTCCCAGTTGAAATCTTTGCTTCAGAAGAGTGTGGAGGAGTTTGTCAATGTGTTCGATCCGAGCAATTGGCACCGCTTGCCCATCTTTCGTATGGCCTTGATATTAGATGACAAAAAGATAGAGATTTATCCCACCTTGGAAGACCTGGAAGCTGCTGTGTTTGAGATTCTTAATGCCATCACAAACACACTGCAGGTGAGGTTATGTGTGAAAACCATTTAAAGGGAAATAAACCCTTTTTTGACCCTTTAAAGTATTCATATGGATGACATCGACCCACAGAAGGTACATACGATCCAGTCATGGATGGCACGAGGCAATTCTTCGTTTGTGAATGCAAAGCTGGCCGACCACATCCTTGCTCGGGCTCGGGCCACTGTGAAGACCGCCGTGTGCGAGAACCTGGAGGAACCTGACAAACACCTGCGGAACTATGGTGATGTTTACTGTCCAATAAGTCCCGTTCCGCATCCCGTGGATTTTACTTCAGTTTATTACTGACTTTGCATTTTCCTGATTTTGCAGTTGACCACTATGACTGGCTTGTCAATGGAACTGCACAGGCCAGAGTGGAGAAGTTCTTGGAAGAGGAGCACTCTTTTGACGAGTACACCAAGGTCACAAGTCATAGTTTCACTAATGCCGCATGCATTTTAAACCGTTTCTTGTTATGAGTTCATCTGATGACTGTCACTGTGTAATCTCTTTACAGGAAGTGGAGGAGTTCCGCGCTGTGTCAAAGGAGATTACAAACCTTCCAGCCAGAGCCCACTTCTCCATGGTCCATCTGGACTGTGAAGAGCTGAATCGGGGGCTGGCCAACAAAGCAAATAACTATGCAGAAATACTTCTGAAGAGAGTGATCACCAGCCACCGGGAGCTGAACCTACAGTGAGACACTTTGCAGCATTTATGTAAATCTCTCGGCATGAACAGAAAGCTTAAGTGCACGATCACCTGAAAATAAGAAATGTTGTGTTTCCGTTAAGCGTTCACGGAGCATGTCGCCATGTTTCTATAGTCGAACAGATTTGTTAATCCAAAAACTGTCTCTAAACAGGGAGCATTCCCCTTTTTATGTTTTTGCATCGGCTATACGTTACCAAATCCTGCCACAAGGTACCTTTAACAAAACTGTGTGTAAGATCCTGTTTCTTGTCACAATTCTTCTTGTGTCTCTTCGAAGGATCTGTGCTGAATTTGAAACCATCAGAGAAAATGTTCTGAAAGTACCAGAAAGTACAGAAGAAATGATCCAGATCGTTGACCACATTCATTTCACTAAGACAAAGGGTATCGCAGAACTCAATGAGAAAATGCAGGTGAATAACTTGGATCTCACACTTAAGCGTTTTGAATTCAGTTATATACTGTACATATATTCTAACAGCATTTTACCACATTGCGTTGTGACAGGAAGCCCTCTCTAGACTAATGTACATCCTGGAGGTGCATCTCGTCGAGCCCGAGGATGAGGAGCTCAACACGACCCTCTTTCTCTGGCCGAAGAAAATCCTTCATGCCTTTGAACTCAGCGATGAGGTAACGACCTTGGCTCTGCCGATAACAGTATATCACCGTTTTGTTTTTTTCAAGGATGACCTGATTCTGGATCGCTATACTATTTTCTAGGTGATGCAGAAGGCCAAGCGTACAGGAGAGCAGGAGCTGCTCGCTAGAACAGAAAGATTGATGGTACAGGTGGAAAAGCTGGGGTGCAGGATACAGGAGTTGCGTCATTGCTGTGAGCTGGATATGATGCAGCAGGTACACACATCAGCAGCATGAGATACCGTCGAAGAACTATTTTGGGAAAACCCAGAGCGTAACACCAATACGCAAGTTAGATGGAA